AACAAGTGTGGGGTACCTACAGTTAAACAAAAAATGTATTCATACGACTCTAACGTCTCTCACAAAGAGACACAGCTGCTCAAAATTATCTCATGGCCACGGGATAATAACGTGTGGCCACGAAGAGGAGGCGCAAGGATTTCTTTATCCAACAGCACCGGACAGGCACTGTCACTGCCTGATCCGTACCGTCAGCTCATTTGTGCATGTGCTAAAAGTAACACTATCGGGAGGGCTGTTTAGTTTTAGCATGTAGCATTTTACTAGAGTGCTTGATGCCAGAATTGATTGGATTTCAGTCTTTCGTCACCTGCAGTGTTTCATAGAAAAGTTAATGTTTGCAACAGAAAAAAATAAATAAAACAGAGATGAGATGAATTATAACATGGTCAAAATTAGGTCTGTTCAGGTCGGCAAGCTCATATAAACAAATATGTACACATCGTAAATCTACATTTTATTAATCGGAATGTACCTTCATATTGAAATATTTTTCAGATTATAATTTAGCATACCTTTATAAGTATGGAAATAATTATTTCCAATATTTTTTTCCTAAATCAAGCACATTAACCAGTAATCCAAAAGTATACCTGTTAGCACATGTGCAGATGAGCTGACGGTACGGATCGTGCTGCAGTGACAGGCATGGTACCTTAAATCCTTATCCGTAAAAAAATAAAATAAAATAAGAATGGTGGGAAAATACAAACTGTTCTGTCTTTCATCTGTAAAAAAAACACTCAGGATTCTGGCAATGAAACTCATAGCTTTTTGATACCAAATGACCAAATGTTTGTCAAAATGTTAATGTTTACGGTCCTTTTTGAAGAAAAAGCAAACAATTAAACTATTCATGAGAATTGCTACATTTTACTGTTCTTAGAATCAAAGTGAGGAAATGATTATTTTCTGACCAACAATTTCTAGTTAAAACATAATATAACTGCACAAAAATAAAATCGCATTACATTCATGAAAAAAATCCATCACAAACTAACACAAGACCTGTTTGAGYCTTTATTCAGATAAGGACTTTTCAGAGCTAAAATACTAATTTGTTTCAAACTTTCTGGTATTTTATAGAATAAAAAATGTACTTTGTATGAGCTGCCTGAAGATCCATTTTTTAAATGGCTTTTTTTTCTGTTTTGTATTGACATAACACTGACTCATGCTTGCGTTTAGGAGCCTTTTTTAATGCCTGAATGAAAAACAGGTTAAAGTTAAACAAACAAGCATTTCTCTGACAATATTGTAGCTGGCTATTATACAGGGTTGTGGTTAAAAAGCAGATTAAATAATAATGATAATAAAAAATAAATCATAGTAATTTTAAAACGTTAAACAAAACTTGATTTAGGTCACGCTGGGCAGACTTGACAGATGACTTAAGGTTTTGGATGTGTTTTAAATTTCTTTTCTTTCCTTGTTTTTTCTATGCACCTCTGCTGGCTGTGGTTTCCAGTGTGTCCCAGTAATTTCAACCATACCTTGGTACATAACAATCATCCCGCTGCTCACCATCCTCACTGTGAGGGGGCTCAAAGACCTCGTCACTGACATAGTAAGATGATTTTAAGTTCATGCTGCATCCCAGAGCCTTATCTCCATGTAGGCTATCTCTCATGGTCTCATGCTATGATCTTGGTTTTTCAGTTTGTTTAATCTCCCCTTCCTTTTCTTCATTGTCCTCATTGACTCCTTGTCCTCTCCTCATTGACAAACCCAGTCATCCCCACAACATTAATTTTCTCTCCTATCATTAAAGCTTTTTCTTTTAAATGCAGGCATGATGTTTTGCATGGAGAATTTTCTGGTTAAGTGCATCACTGAGTTACGGTCGTTAACAGCTCTGGGTGAAACGTTTGCCTGACCCCTCTTTATTGACTAATCATTTAGTGGAGGGCGTAAATCTTCCAGCTGGTGTCACTGTAGAGCCCCATAATGGCATCTCTCCTTCTTCCTTTCTCCTGTTCGGTCGTTCATGGCCACCCTCATTTCCTCTCCCCATGTCCATCACTCTGATCCCCTCTCCTTGTCACCTGTCTCCAACGCTCCTCTAATGCTTTTTTCACTCTTTCCACTTGTCTCTGTTTGTCTCTCTGTCTCTGATTCAGGCGAGGAGACGCTCTGACTCGAGGATTAACTCCCGACCCTGTGACATACTCATCTCCAAGAGGTGAGGACAAAGGCACTGGGTTATTCTCTCAGGGGTCCGCACAGCTCCACTTTGAAACAGTCCACTAATGAATCTGTAATGAAGTGAAAACCACTGACTTCCTGAATGGTCCCTGCATGGATTAGAGCTGTGCAAAACAACAAATTTACTGTGTAGATCACATATTTTTTTATATATTTGAGATTGGTCTTCTTAAATGCAAAACATTCCCAAACAGTAAAAAATAAAATAAAATTCTATGGAATGTTGGGCTTTGCCAAAAACTGTCTATATTTTTTTTAAACGAAAGTAGACAGTTTTGAATGAAAGCCAATCATCTGCTGCCTTGAGTGCAAACATTTTAAACAAAACTCTCAAGCAATTTTGTGTTTCCTTTGGTTAATTGGTTGTGGCGGCCATCTTGAAATGAGACCCAGAGGCAAAGAAACACATACAACCCCTGTCTCTGTGCACACAGCCAATTATATGGTTGCCTGCATTTCATAGGGGTGAACAAGGATCAAAGGTTTACTACTGGGTCAAAAATAAGCTCTGAAAAAACATAATATAAAAAAATTTTCTGTTATTTCTTCTTTCATTTTGCATTTGTTAATAGAAATCAATCTTAAAACGTTGAATACGTCCTTTGGTTGAGTTCTTCGTTGTTGAAAAACATGTTTTGCCTTTTCTCCAAGTGACTTCTTTGTCTGAGGAGCTACAGGTAAGCTCAGACATATAAGAAGTACTTCCACATGGTGGACAAACAACTCTAACTATGGCAATCAAAACTGTTTGTTCACATGCAAAAGAGGACCATCAGCCTAACAACTGTCAATAATTTGTGAAAAATGGGCAATAATCAGGGCACTAATGGTCAGTCGTTAAACTGATTGTCCTTTGGGAACAATAGGCAATAATCAGGGAACTAACAATTAGTGGTTATGCTGATGATCCTTTGTGAACAATAGGTGATGATCAGGGCACTAACAATTAGTTATCAGGCTGATGCTCCTCTGTGAAAAATAGGCAACAATCAGGGAACTAACAATTAGTGGTCACGTTGATGATCCTCTGTGAACAATAGGTGATAATTATTGCACTTATGATAAGTAGTTAGGCTGATGGTCCTGATTGTCCTCTGTGTACAATAGGCAATAATCAGGGCACTAATGATCAGTTGTTAGGSTGATGGTCCTCTGTGAACAATAGGCAATAATCAGGGCATTAAYGATCAGTTATTAGGCTGATGGTCCTCTGTGAACAATAGGCAATAATCAGGGCACTAATGATCAGTTGTTAGGCTGATGGTCCTCTGTGAACAATAGGCAATAATCAGGGCATTAACGATCAGTTATTAGGCTGATGGTCCTCTGTGAACAATAGGCAATAATCAGGGCACTAATGATCAGTTGTTAGGCTGATGGTCCTCTTTTATATATGAACAAACAGCTTTGATTTTCATTGTTAAACTTGTTTGTATATCGCGTGGAAATACTGTTTATAAGTAAAGCAAAGTTACCTGTAACTCCTCAGACTGAGAAAGTCTCTCAGAGATTTTTTTTTTCAACAAAGAACCCATCCAGACGACTTACTCAAATTTCCTTTTAGATTTTCCTACCAGGAATATTGAGATGCATCCGGACTTAATAGATCTCAACATGCAACTAAATATATATCTGTGGTTACTGTGTTTAGAAAACTGGACGAGCTATATCAGTAAATTTGTTTAGTAAATCATAAATGCAAATTGTATTTCATATGTCATCTCTCTCATTAGTTTCAGCACCAAGCAGTGGAAGGATCTTCGTGTGGGCGATGTGCTGCGGATCCACAAGGACCAAGTCATCCCTGTGAGCCTTAGAACGTRCAGAAAAATGTGGAAACTGACAGCAAGTTTCTTAGAAAAAAGCTTAATTGCTCTGCTGAAAATGTAGTATCTGAGGATAAAACATAACCTAATAATTTTTTCTGTATAGAAAAGCAACTTTTTTTCACAGAAGTTAAAGTTTTATTTTATTACTCACGCAATCAGTTTGTATCAGTAACAAATCACCGCTTGATCCCTCTTTGTGTGTGTGTATATATATTTCTTTGTTCTCAGGCAGATGTTCTTCTTCTGTCCAGCTCAGAGCTTCACAGTTTGTGCTACGTGGAAACAGCGGATATTGATGGGTAAAATCTCCACCTAATTTAAACCTTTGAAGATGTTAAAAATATCCTGTTTGGTTAATTATGGAATTATTAAACATTACTAAGGTGGTTGGTAATTTATCAGCAGATGTAAGTAAAGGAATAATTACACACGGGTGATATTATGTGCATGATAAGAAAAACTAATAAAAACATTGCAACATGACAAATTTGGGTAATGATGCCAATTTTAATCTTAAAATGTTTAATGTCTGACCCAAAAAACAGCTTTCAAATAGATTTTATTAAACTATATGTTGTTATTTTTTGTTGTATTATAAAGTCTACTTTTTTATTGGATTAATAAACCAAAAAGATGTAGATTGCATGTTTACAACTACACAGCTTTGGCTTCTTAAGTGATGTTTTTCCTTTTCTTCAGTGAGACCAACCTGAAGTACCGGCAGGCACTTGATGCTACCCACAGTCATCTGACCACTCAACCCTCAGAAGAAGTCCTCAGAACCTTTGACGGTGAATATATGTTTTCAAATAGGACCGCCTTTTCCAAATGTGCTCATTCAAATGCAGTAAACCCGTGAAACTTTTTAATCTGCAGGTGTGGTGCTCTGTGAGGAACCCAACAATCGCCTGTACTCCTTCAGAGGTCAGCTACATTGGCAGGGGCAGACGTTTCTCCTGGACAACGAGCACATTCTCCTAAGAGGAACAGTCCTACGCAACACAAAATTTGCCTATGGCTTGACGATATACGCTGGTACTGATGTAAAGATTTATGGTTTTAACCTYTATCAAAAGGGCCAAACTTTTCTCTCACTGATGTGGTTGAATGAGTCTGCATTTGTTGGCCATTCACATCCCCCTTCACTGGGACACCGAAGGGTGTCCCAATTCATAGAAAAAAAGAAAAAATGGTAAATGGTCTGAACTTATATAGCGCTTTAYACTACAGTCATTCACTCATTTACACACACATTCACACACTGATGATGGTAAGCTACATTGTAGCCACAGCTGCCCTGGGGCACACTGATAGAGGCGTGGCGGCCATGCACCGGTGCCACCATCTGTCCACAAGGCGAGTGCAGTGTTTTGCCTAAGGACACAATGACTGAGATGGCTGGAACTTCGTACGGCCTGTTCAGTTAACAACAAATATAGCAGATCTTCTTCATCCCACTCCTCTATCAGCTGAAAATAAACAACCACTCTGGCAGCCATGCTTTTGATGTGTTGTTTTCCTTTTGGGCGTGTCTTGTGCTACAGGGAGAGGGGGTTACCAGGAATTCTTCTTGCAGTATTATATAACTTGTACAAATGAAAAAGAATGTCTAACAACCACGTCAGTGAGATCAGATGTTTTACTTCTGATCAAGTATGTATACCTTTATTCACTTCAAAGAAACACATTTGATTGAGTTTCTGGAAAAAAAATTCTCAGAAACGTGGTAACAAAAGAACATTTCCGCAGAACTCACTGTGCTGACAACTTATACTTTTGTCTCTTTACCTCTTTCCATAATAATTTTGATCATTTGGAAGTTAGTTCAAATCAAATGTTAAATATTTTAATCAAATAATAAAAGGCCAGGCAGATACGATTCTTCATTTTCTGGTTTATTAAATGAATGGTAAATGGACTGAACTTATATAGCACTTTATCAAGTCCCTCCGGACCCCAAAGTGCCTTACATTCATAYACACATTCACACAATGATGGTGGCAAACTACATTGTGGTCACAGCTGCCCTGGGGCACACTGACAGAGGTTATTAGATGGTATATTATGCCATTCTTCAAATCATCTACTTTAAAGGCTATATTATGTGTTTGCCTGGCACATAGTTCAATCTATTCAACAATAAAGTTACCTTCCTTCATTTGCCATAAAAATTATGCATATTCCAAAAGTACATTTGACTTTGCATCACAGCCTGTATAAATCACGTTAAATTGGCCTATAGCTCTTTAAAACCTTTTACTGTCCCCCCTTCACAACAATGCTTCGGGGGGAAGGGTGCTCTGTGGGACGGGAGCTCGGCTGGAGACTGAGCTTCAGGGAGGAGCTTAGTATAAGTAGGCGGTGCTTTGTACCAGCAAGCATTTAGACAGCTCCRAATGGCTACCATGAGAGATTCAAAGATTTCTCAAATGTGCATGAATGAGTCAAAGCAACACTCTGGGTCTATTTTGATGAGGGAATGACTTAACATGATTTACATGTTTAGTTTGTTGCTATAAGCTGTAAAAGTCTGCGCTCAGTATAAGTAGTGTAAATGCTGATGGTTCATGCAAAAGTGAGAATCTTTAATTTAGCTAATACAGGGTTCTGTTGCATGTATATTGTCTGTAATTAATTGTTTCACGTCAGATTAAAAAAAAACTTTATTTGGCCAGCCATTAGCGTAGCCTGTACACAGACCTCTGCCTCTTTCTTTGTGCTTTATTTTATGMCTGATGTCCAGACTGATAACTGATAACTGATAACTAAAAAAATGACCAGAATATCCCTTTAAAAGGATAAATCAGAAGAAAATGTTTATGAACAATTATTAGCATACCTGTTGTTTTGTCTGTTATATGAAGACTCAGATGGAGTCCTGCTTGTGAACAAGTTTGTGATTTTTACACAAAGTTCAGCCTCATTTAAGTGCTTACATGAGACTAAGACAACATCTCGGAAAAACATAATCGATCCCAGCCCGGAAAATTCCCTGACCTCCGCACTGGGGGTCAGACCTTCCTCGGGAGTGGAAGAAGTTCAGCATGTTGCTCAAGGGCACGTCAGCAGAGACTCGCTGACACAAGAGTTTGAACTTTAACCCCGTGGCTGCAGAATGGCCTTCTGAATCACTTTGCTGTACTGTGGCAGTTAACAGTTGTTTTGTTGTTGTTTAGGCGCAGACACAAAAATCTTGAAAAACTGCGGGAAACTAAGAGTGAAGACGACCCATCTGGAGAGAGTTTTCAACAAAGTGGTGATCGGGGTGAGTGGGTGAAGTGCATGAGGACGACAAACAACTCGTGGAGTGGTCAGAAACATCACATGTACGTATTCTGTGTTAGATCGTCCTTTCAGTTCTGCTAACGGCTCTGTTCCTCGCCATCGGCTGTGGTGTGTTTACGAGTCAGATCATGAGGCAAAGAGAGCTTCTGTCCACTCTGGCGGTTTTTAGCACCCCAGCCTACACTGGATTTCTCATGTACTGGGGTTACATCATCCTCCTCAGCCCGGCCATGCCCATCGCTCTCTACATCACGTCAGTTCCACCAGTCACCACTCGCTAGTGGGAGGTCAGAAAATAACGCATTAATTTGTTGCTGTTTGTTTGTTTGTTTGTTTGTTTGTTTGTTTGTTTGTTTGTTTGTTTGTTTGTTTGTTTGTTTGTTTGTTTGTTTGTTTGTTTACCTGCAGGTTTGAGGTGATCCACACAATCCACAGCAAGTTTATAGGCTGGGATCTGGAGATGTACTGGCAGCCAACAGACAAACCAGCCCAGGCCAGGAACACCTCACTGAGTGAGGAGCTTGGTCGAGTGGATTACCTGCTTAGTGACAAAACTGGGACGCTCACCCAGAACCGGCTGCTCCTCAGACAATGCTGCATCGCAGGGGAGATTTACGGTAAAACATACACACRTGCACACACACACAAACTTGTTTTTATATCCTTGTGGGGCCCGTCCATTGACTTCCATTCATTTTTTGGTAATTTTATATCCTAACCCTGACCACAAACCCTAAGGCTAACCTCACAGGTACCTTCCTGACCCTTAAACTAACCTAAACCCAACCCCCACCCAAAATCAGCCTCTGAAGTTGTGGGGCCCAGGCTTTGGGCCCCACAAGGAGCACCCGGACCCCACGAGGCTGCATTTTCCTTAAAAC